TCGGGTGCAAGCACAGAAATTGGGAACAGAGGAAGTTTTAGGAGAGGATTTTTAAATATGAGGCACATGTGTTATCATTGGGAAAATTGAACAAATAAAGGGATTCTTTTGGCTATAAAAGTTTTCACTGATAATCTACATTAAAAAAAACTATACAAAGTAGTTATTGCTAAGAAATATTAGAATCCGGCTGATATGTTAAGGACATTAGAAACTTCTCTAATTACAATCGAAAAATCACATTAAGAGGAACAAATCAAAATCCCATTACTGTACAATGGTAGCTTAAGCAGCAAGCTGAAAATCTGATTCATGCTAACACACCAAGTCGGTTCCTCTGCTACTTGGAAACTTTAACAGTGTAAATGCTTATGATTACTTTGTATGGGTTCTTAACCCCAGAGATGATTAGTATCTTGGTTTTAGTGCTTGTCATGCATTAGCCGTAATTAGCCATTTATCTTTTAGTGAGTATCTTAGATTTCATTTATCAAGAAACCTGTTCAAGAGAACTTGTCCAAATCAAAAGATACAGTATGTCTTAGTCCTTGCTATATACTCTCTTCTGTGCAATATAGTGCAAGCATAAAGGTGAAAGCACCAATTAATTTCTTCTGCATGAGATGTTTTGGCCTTAATAAATCTTCTAATTAACATGTCTTCCTGATGTTATGGAGCAGGCACTGGGAAGACTAAAAAAGCTACAGAAAGAACAAGAGAGAGTCAATATTTAAGTTGCAGGTAAATTGCATCAAGTGTAGAGAGCACAAAAGGTCAAAGTAGCACAAAACCTAAAGTTGCACATAGGCTGGTAACATGCAGCGCTAGGCATGCACAAGGCACACCTGACTTGAACGGTGACATATCTGCGGAAGATTTCATGTTGGAACTGGGATTTTTAAATCAACTGGTAATGCTGGAGAAATGTGACCATCCTCACACTGAAAAAAATCTCCAAAATAAAGATATCCCACAGAGACAGAAGGAAAGTGGAGCCCGTCTCCCTTGTACTCAAGTTTAACCATAATGGAGGACCTCTGGAGACTACCTAGTTCAATGAAAAAAACAATTTTCTAAGATTAAGTACCAAGAGGCCAAACCTGTCTGTGCCTTAGAGACTCCATACACATAACCACTACACAAACCTCCCTCTTAAATATCACAAAACTGGGAGGCAAGAAATCTGGGTTTTGCTGCAGAGCCAGATATAGGTTTGCTGTGTGACCTTAGGGACCAGTTGCTTGATCTCTTGTTTTCTATCTTCCCCAATCAATAAACTGCAGATGATACTTACCTCATCTGGGTGTAGTGAGGCTTAACATTCACTAATGTTTATAAAAAAGCTTTGAGATCCTTCAAAGATGGTACAGAAATGCAAATTATTATTATAAAGGTTACTTCGGTGGGAGAGAGAGAAGCCACCCTGAGAAATATTTTACCAGGTCACAAAGTGTTCACCGTTAATTATTACCAATGCAGCTACCAAAGAACCATGTACCCTCTTCCGTCACCCTCTTTACACAGAGACTTTATAGGCCAAAGTTTCTTTAAATTCCAGTTTAGGATGTGATTAAGTCACATTTGCTGCCACTTCCATCTGCTTGGGATTCTGTGGGAAGTGTACTCATCTAATTCGAATAACTCCAACACTTAACAATTCCTAACTCTGTGATCCAGGCTGGGCTCCCAGGCCGGATTGCAATAGTATCATCAAGGCCACCAAAGGTTGGTCAATGGTCATCTGCACACAGCACATGCCTTCTTTCTTTCACTCTTGTCCATTCAAATCCCCAAAGCACCAATTATTATGGAACACTTTTTATTTTTAAAGGTCAGGACAGCTTTGGCCAAAAACACAACCGGAGCAAGTGTCGCATGTTAAGGTCAAATTCTGCCTTAGGCTGGAATTAAGGTTGTTACTTATTAAGTGCAACCATAATTTCTGAGTCCAGTAGCTTAGGACAAACAGACTGAGACACTAATTCCTCACGTTATACTTGATTTAAGAATTAGCAGGGCCCCATGGAAGATACATTCAGAAAAGGACTCCAGCTAGATTTTTAATTAGCAAGTCTCTCCAAAATAATTGTGTGCATTTGTTTTCTAGGGTTGCTGAGTGAACTAAGGGCACATTGTGCCCCTGCATAAATGTATGTAGCTTCCATTAACATTGAGATGAAGTGTCTGGGGATTGGTCCTGCTTTGAGCAGGGGGTTGGACTACATGACCTCCTGAGGTCCCTTCCAACCCTGATATTCTATGATTCAAAGTCATAACAGAAAACAAATACTGTATTTGGGTAAGCTTGCAATAATTACACTGTTATTTCATTAGGATGCTATTAGAGAATAGAAGTTTTAGAAAAGTACTGTCAAATAAACGACACCACAAAACTCAAAATAAATGTGAGATTTAATAAAAGAAATAAGTACAAAGTGAACAGAAAGAATTGAAAGGCAAAAAACAGCATGAATGACAAAGTGAATGAATGCAACACTTTCAGAGAAGCATGTTAACTTTACAAAAGAGCAGTTCCACAAATGTCTCCATGTTCTTGCCAAATTAAAAACAAAAAAACCCAGTAACCACTTCTGTGTAGAATCTGCTCCATGCACACATAAAAAGTTTATAAAATTAAGAGACATCCAAAATACATTTTAACTTAAAAAGCAGAAACAATACACGGTAATGGGTGTTTAAATGATAGAAAATGGATAACTTTTCCATTAATGCCAACACTTTAGAGATGTATGTTAAAAAAATAACCAGGAAAAATATTCTAATTGGATTGCTCATTTTGGGTATAATTTCTGAAGCAATCTTTATTTTCTTCTAGCCTATAACACAAGAGGTAAATCTTCAGCTTGGAGTGAGATTAGTGTCACATTATATTGATAACTTGTTAAATAAAAAGCAAGTACATAACTAGCTTAATGCACCAAACATTTAAATTTGGTCTCGGGCAAAAACGAAAAATCAAGTACTAACAAAAGAAGAAGCATATATTGACTTCTGTTGGGGGAGAATATTATGGTCTATCAATTCAAGAGGTTAATAATGACCAAGGGAAAGCTGAGGTCAGTATTTAACTAAAAGGACAAGGATGTTTACCACAACATGAAGTCAACGTATATATAATAATAATAATTAATAATTAATATATCGTTACATACATTCTGAATGTCTTCAGAAATATCTGGAAATCTCTCTTATGGCCATGGATATTAAGCTTTTATTTTTATCATCATTATTATTATTATTATTTTTAACTAACATACTAAGGAAACAATAGTTACAGCTCTAGGAATAAAAGTATTCTGATCGCTCATGAGCCAATCAGGAAGAAAATATTTGCATAGATGATCTTGTTGGCTGCAGCATGAGATCAGGAGAAAACTACTGACTGAAAAGCCAATCATAATGCATTCATTTGCATGTGTGATCTAATTAGTTAACTTTATTCCAACTCTCAGTACTGTTGGCCTTTGAGAAGGTAAAATAATATAAACCAGAAGCTATTGCTTTACTCATGTAATTAGTCCACTGATCTTTATGGAACTTCTCACATGATTAAGAATACCATGATTTTCTACTTATTTGCCACCTGACTATTTTCAGCGAATCATGTGCTAGGATTGTCGTGTATGTAACAATATGCTATATTCTTTGAGCATCTATTCTAAAAAACATATTAACCCTCAACATTTGACAGTTATTCTTTACAATATATTTAGTTTAAAGAGGCACAGCCTTAAAATTAAATGGTCAGATCTCAGCAAAGTCCTGAATAAGTGTTAATACTCACTATTAACTCTCTTTCTTTTTAAAATGGCCTGTCTTTAAAAGTACCTGTATAATTTTCATGAGGTTCTTACTTACAAATATCAAGTAATACTGTGACATGATTTTCAATATATTCATATAAAAGGCCAACATCTGTAAGAAAATATTTCAACACCTGAGCATGTATTAAAAAAGCTGCTTTATCAGGATATGCAAGTTGAAGAACCTCAGTATACAATACAGCTAAATGCTACCTCTGAACAGACCTGCTAAAGGCTCAGATTACAAGGCTATACACCATTATTTAAAAGTCAAATGAGGAATTTGCCAGCACGGTTGTTTAAAGACTAAGAGATCTCTAAAAATGATTAGAAGAAATGAATGCTAAATAAAATGGACATGCTCACAATCAACACCTAATTAGCCAGTGTTTGCTGAAACAGTTAACCAAAACTCTAAAGGCACTAAGTGGGAGCTAGTGTAAAATATTTGTTTTCTTTTAGCCCAGTATCTGATGACATTTTTGAGTCTAACTATTTTTAGCGAAGTCAAACCATGTCTAAATGAAAAAGGTACAACCTACCTAACACACCCATATTCACCAATTGCCTTGCCTACATCATGGAAAGGGTGGGCCACTGCCCGCTGCCTGAAATAGTGTTGTTCCCTATACAGCCCTGTGGGCTAAACAATGGTTTCCAAATATCAAAACAGTGTTAAAGAGAAAAATTGGTGAGAGGAGGGGACTAATGGGACTTGGGGGTACATAGCCCTGGTTAGGATCAGGCTACTTGTGTTCATTACACATCTGTTTATGGGTACATTTTTTACACTGGAAACAATTTATAAGTTCAAGATGAATGATCAAACATCTTGACAGCAAAACACACTGGTTAAGTTACAAGTGGAGTTACAAAAATCCCATCGTTCCACATAATATAACAAACCCTAAGGAAAGGAAAATCTTCCTATTTAAATGTTCCACGTTAGCAATAAAGAGAAATCAAAATGCTGTCGTAGGACTTGTATTGCCACTCTCTTTATATTATGCACGGCACAAAGTGTTTAGAGAAATTAGGGTTTTTTTAAAAAATGACCTGAGAGTAGGTTACTCAGCCTAGAGCACTTAGGCCTTGTTAGGAAATTCCACGTGTTTTTTTTTTTTTTCAATTCTAAACTTATTCAAGTTGTGACTTTTGTTAAAAAAAAAAGTGTGTTCTTCACACTACTTATAACAAATGTAGAAAAAAATCAAATCAGGAGTCCCATTAAGCATTAAAAATTAATGTAATCTGTAAAGTAACTATCAATTAGTAACATTAGTTCTTATAAAACAATTATGGTCACTTTACAAGTGGATGTTTGCCCATCAGGTCTGAAACAAAACAAGCCTGCTCATTTTCAGGATTAGTTGACTTTGTGTCAGAAAATTTACACAGTATGACATTTACTTCCTTAAAAACTATTCATAAGTCCTGTACAGATAACAATAAATTGTTACACTGTAAACACTGAAGAGGCTCATTTTCTCTTTCACTTTGGTCCATTCACACAATGTTATGACAGAAGTAACACAAGGTAGGAAACTCAAGCAACTTAACACATGAAAGTACAAAGTCCACTCTTGGCCTGTGTGCGATTAACTGAAAGAAACAAAAACATTAACAAAAACAGCATGGATTAATGTTATGGAAATTAAACAAAAGCAAACTCTAGTGAAAACATATACAATGAAGAAGAGAGACCACAGATCTGGCATTTCAGGACTACCTAAATGCGTCCTAAACTAAAGGTGGTGTGAAAGCATAATCTGGTTAACAATTGCATTTGTGAAAGCCAACCTCCCTGTTGAAACATTTTATCTGATTATCTGCAATCCTTAATCCCCGATTTCTAATTTTACTAATCAAAGCTATGAAGAAAATTAACTCTACCGAAATTTAAAACCAAATGTCAGATTTAACGAGCCATCTTACAAGCACTTCAATGAAACAGAATTAATAAAGCATTTCCGCCAAGGATTCCTACTCTATCTCCCCCATTCCTTCTCCCTGGGCTTACTTATCTCCCGCTCCCAGAGGCCCACAGAATATCTATCTGTTCAAGAACAGATGGATGGTTCTCTGTTCAGACGCCACTCCTACATCCACCAAATGGGCTGAGAAAGCATCCTTCAGGGCTACCTTTGTGGCATTGCCTGCAGCTTGGGTAGTCAGTGAGTGTAAAACACTACCATTATGAGTTGGTGGCATTTTACTCTCTCTTTTCACTGGTGTAAATGACTGCACAAGTGCAGCATAACAGAACTGGATCGTCCGCTTTGCCAGTTAAGAGAGCAGGAATCCAGACTCTGCAAATCCAACCCAGGTCTCTTGTGTGAATGATAGTGCTCTGTACAAACTACAGATTCAGCTTTATAGAGTGTCAGCCTGACTGAAGTGTTCCACACACAACCCAACAGCACAATCAGGAAGAGGCATCAAAACATGTTTTCAGTAGTATCCACCAGAGGTCACTGTTTGCACAGGTAAAAGCTATCAGGATTCCGGCACTTTGCTAGTTGAGCTTTTGGTGAAACATCCCAAATTAAAGACACTGGATAATCAGGAATTTAAACACACAGCTCCCGTTAATTTCAATGGGTCTTGTGTGGCTAAATCTCCTAGTCCTCTTGGAAAAAGTTTACTTAGATTACTACTAAGCATATTATAACTTGGGCTGGACAGGACACCGTTTTTTCCATTCCAGGAGATCTTGAAATTTTTTCCCATCCCAAATCAGGATGAAAAAAAATCAATCACAAATTTTCATGAACTGACAAATCAACAAAAAATTTTTTTTTCTTTGGGTCAATCAAAACATTTCATTTCAACTTCAACTTTTTCTCTTTTTAAAAAAACCTGTTTAGCATAAATTAAGTTAAATTGTGAAAGGAAAAGTCATTTTGACCCAAAAAAATAAAAATTTTCATTTAAATAATGTCAAAAGGGGATGTTTCAACAATTTCAAAATGTTTTTCCCAACAAGTTTTGACAAATCAGCATTTTTTGGTGAAAAATTGCTGACCAGCTGTAATTATAACATTCCCCATAGGAGCAGAGCTGGGTGGGATGGGTTGAGACATAAGACTACATTAATGCTCTCCCACACTCCCTCCTGTCTCCACACGGATATGCAATAATGGTATTACCAAAAAAAAGGGATGGAAATACAATTCCAGACAAAATATTTAAAAAGTCAGAGCGTTGGCAGGCAATGGGGAATGGAACTTTTTCCAGCTCAAGATTCTTACGTTCTGTACCACGCAATCCTGCTTAAGCAGAAAACATTTTGCTATTCTGTACAAATAGCATTCTGGGACTTGCCCCCATATTTATTGTCTCACAATGACTTCTGTAGCAGGTGTCAAGTAAAAAAAGGTGATATTTCTCAAAATGCCAAACTGAACCCAGAATCTGAGACTCAAGATAGAATCTTTCTGGTTTTTCAGTCCCGGTTAGTACTAAAGACCCCACAACTGGAACTTATTTAACAAGCCGCTCGATGCACAAACCACAAAAGAATCCAGCTCAGTCTCCCACCAGTGCATTCAGAAGTACTTACGTCAGCCAGAATAAATAGTCTGTAATTTTTTCAGTTAGATTCTTACTCTGTTAATCTGTCGTCATTTTTACACAGTCCCATTTCTGACTGTAACCACCTTGTAATGACAGTGGCAAAACTCAGACTATTCAGTCATGTGCTAATGACGAGGGTGTTTCAAATCACATCTCAGATCGACTGTTAAATAATGACACATTTGATATCTATTTCTAAATGGAGAGCTAGATAATGCATCATGGCTGAGATGCGAACCCATCTGGCTTCTGCCTGCCCAGAGTGTGGCCACCAATACTACTGCTACTGAGGAATGCAATTAGCGCACATCCCATATTCAAATAAATTAAGTCATAAAGTATATGTAAATTAGCATGTTTGTGTTTTTTTTAATGAAATATTGAACACTGCAAAATTATTAGAGAGAGAAGCTGAGGCAGCAAGTGCCAAGTCACCCAGGATTTAAATGTTTATTTAAAATGCACCCATGAATTTGGGTGCTCGTTAAACAGTAGGCAGGCCTGCAAACTTCCCCTCTCAGTTTAATGTACCTCCCTCTTTATCTGCAGCATCCTCTTCTATTGCATCGACTCACACAATCAGGACAAGATGCAACTCAACCTGTTATTCCTGTATCGATACAGCTCTTGAGCAGAGGTGGTCAACAAGGCCACATTGTGTACTGCTAATGATGATTAATTATAACTCCCAGGTACTGAAGGCTATGTCATCGAATCAACACACTAAGCTGTGACAGCCTGAACTACATTTAGTAGCATCCTCCAGTCACAAGATGTACAGCACATTATGTAACACTCAGAGCTGCAACAAAGGCAGCTATTCAGCCATGGACTATACTCACTATATCCAAGGGCAGAGTATTAAGTCATTCTGGTCTTAAAGATTCTTTATACTGTAAGGGCAGGGCCAGATTCTGATCTCTCTTACGTTAGTTTCAGTTTACACATGTGTAACTGAGGCCAGAATTAGGCCCATTGTCTTTTGTCTAAAAAGCCCCATGACATTATTCAATCATTTTCATGCAAAATCATTGCTGACATTTGAAGGCTTGAAATAAATTTAGCCCAAAGATCTCAGAGATGCACAAGCATATGGGCCTTAATTTGCGCTACATTTGAATGGACGATCCTTTCGTTATAATATAATATTTTATAATCAGTGCTTGGAGTCTAGCTGCCGGTAGGATGTGCACAGAGCACGCAGGACAGAACCAGAATTGGTTTTTACCACATGAGGAAAATGTTAATCCACAGTAATCACATTAAATAATACACCTGATCTTTTTCTTTCCATCGTCAAAATTATCAGTTACTGTTACCACCAGCTTGCTCTGAATCTTATGGAACATAAAGAGAATATTTAAGTTCCTCTGTGCAGGAGAAAACAGCGTAAGATGTTAGAACAGAGGAGAAGTATAGCAGTATCTAGGGTGACCCCTTTTCCATTTTGTTCCCAATCCTGCACTCATTGAAGACGGACTTCAATGGGAGTAGGAGCAGACCATTTGTTTCACTTGTTTTCTCTTTTCCCCTGTCACTCGCATATATTCTGAAAACCATTATTCTCACTGATGAGCACCTTACTCCAGAAGCACTACCGCTGAACTCAGTGGGAATGCCTAAGAGGCCAGTCACAGAGGTACCAGAGTCTGGCCCATAGGGTAGAAGAAAAATCTTCCTCATATCTAAAGGTCAGTGATTCCAAATAGGCAGGAACAAGACCCAAGAGACCATGATGCATTCCTACCTTCCCTTCATTTTTAGGTGCCCCCCTTTTTTTTTTTAAACTCTTTACTGTCCAGCAAAGCCAACAGCCCTTCAGCATCCTACAGACACAGTCCCAAACCCTGCAGCTCACAATAATGTTATTGCACTGCCTGAGGCCAGGCCTGAAGGACACTGCACTATTTGGTTGTTCTGGAATCCTCCTCTTCCCTCTCCTGGGAAAGAGAGACAACTCATTTCCCTAGGCTAAACAGACTAAGCCAGTCCCTTGAACCGGCCATCAGGGAGGTGGGCATAAATGTCACCTGACTCTCTCATTCTTAACAGGCCTGAAAAGGGACAGGTCCATTTCCTCTCCAGTCGCCAAGGCTTCTATAGGGGGCAGATATAACCGGACCCTTTCAGGAGGATCGGAAGGATGCTGGCTTAAGAGTTAAAATCCCCTTTAATTTACTAGCTTTACAGCTTCATTCGCGTGGTGTTTTATTGTGTTTGTTTCTGTCTAAAACGACCACATTGTTGAAAGAATAAAATGTTTTGAATGGCTGGAAAAGGTTTAAGTTAAACCGCTTACTTTTTCTTGTCTTTATCCTTCTTCAGTGGCTGCTGCGAAGTAGCTTGCAAGGACTGAGACTGCAGGGTTTCGACTGCTAGTTTCCGCCTGTTGAAGGCATTCATCTCCTCCTCCAGCTCCCTCCTCTTCTCCTCCACCTTCCTCTTCTCTTCCTGATGTATCCTCTTTAAATGCTCAAACTTTTCGTGTAGCTGGTAGAAGACAGACTCCATGAGCATCGCCTCCACGACCGTCTGCTGGGCTACTGCCCCAGGCCACACGTTTCCCCAAGGAGCAGCAATCACAGGCTCTTGCTGCTGTGCAGAGTCCCACTGAGGTCACAGAGCTTCAACACAGGACTGAGGGGCTGAAATTGCTGCTCTCTCTGCAAGACAGGGGCCTAAACTACCTGCTCTTTGCATATTACTAGCCTTTGTATGTAAAGGGCAAGACAACGGGACAAACTCAATATTGTCTGTCCCAATCGCTCTCTCTCGCCGCTCATTTTAATGTAGAACAGCAAGAGGGGAAGGAGGTCTTAGGGCCAGGGCACTGGATTAAGGGTACGTCTACACTTACTTCCTGGTTCGGTGGCAGGCAATCGATCTTCTGGGATCGATCCCGGAAGTGCTCGCCGTCGACGCCAGTACTCCAGCTCGGCGAGAGGAGTACACGGCATCGACGGGGGAGCCTGCCTGCTGCGTCTGTACCCGCGGTAAGTTCGGACTAAGGTACTTCGAATTCAGCTACGTTATTAACGTAGCTGAATTTGCGTACCTTAGTCTGAAGTGGGGGGTTAGTGTGGACCAGGCCTAGGACTCAAAAGATCGTGGTTCAGTTCCCAGCTCTACCACAGGCTTCGTCTGGGATCTTAGTCATGATAGTAAGTGCCTGATTTTCACAGCCCCCGTTGGTACCAACCGGAGCTGTGGGTGCCCAGCTCCTCTGAGAAGCCTTAATTTTCAGAAGCATCAAAGTGGCTTAGGAGCCTATGACCTCACTGAGACTTGCGCAATTATTCCCATTGTACAGAATGGGGAGGAGGGAGGCACAGAGAATAACATTTCCAGAAGAATCTAAGCTCCCACTGACATTCAATGGGACTTACGCTTTTAAATCACTTAGGGTATGTCTCCACAGCATTTTGGAGTGAGCCCCTGCAGCCTGGGTCAACAGGCTCCGGCTAGTCGCGCTTGCACTACTGTTCTAAAAATAGTTATACAGACAGCACTGTGCAGCTGCAGCTTAAACTGGAGCTTGGGCAATGAAGTCCGCCTACTCCAGCGGTTCTCAGAGTTTTCTATTGGTGACCCCTTTCACACAGCAAGCCTCTGAGTGCGACCCCCCTTATAAATCAAAACCACATTTTAAAATATTTAACACTATTATAAATACTGGAGGTGAAGCGGGGTTTGCGGGTAGAGGCTGAAAGCTCAGGACCCTCACATAATAACCTCACGACTCCCTGAGCGACCCCCAGTTTGAGAATCTCTGGCCTACTCCCTAGGTTTCAAAGCCTGAGCTCCCACTCACTCCCGCTTGCTCCAAAATGCTGTGTGGTCGTTTTGAAAACGACCTTAGGTAGTTTTCAAAATGTCATCCTCTGTGCCTCCCTCTCTGATCTGTACAGGGGGAATAATTCCCTACCATGCCGGGCTATTGCGGGGATAAATTCATTAACGTTTGTGAGGTGTCCAGATCCCACGGTGATGGGGCCCATGTGAGCATCTAGCTAGATACCACTGCGTATATTTGAGACCCATCCTCGGGTGCTGGGATATGCTACTTGAGGAGACTGTTACGTTACTCTGCTCGCTGTGTTCAGCTCACAGCTTTCAAGTGCTCACACTTCATCCACATCTGGACCTCAGAGCTGAACGTGTGGTTTGGGCTCATCTTGCAGGTCTCTGATATACCCACCTCTCTTTCCTTCTCTTTCAGTTCCGATTCAGTCTCCTTGACTTTGTTAACAAACATATGCCTCATTTCTTCCTCTTTCTTGTGCAGTTCACCTAGGAACTCTTTTCTTTTGGTCTCATAGGTTTCTTGAAGGCTGGATAAAAAGCAAATGAGACACTACGGTATTATTCAATAGTGACTAGCAAGGCTATGCCCGTCTAAATTGCTTGAAGGCAGAGGGGACGGAGAAGGGAAAAAAGAGAAAAATATCTCAAGCAGCAGAGAGGTTCAAAATCAATGTTAGCAGGTCTCAGTCTAGTGGCCTGATGTTGCAAGCTCTCTGCCCAAGGGGATTCTAGCTGATGGAAGGTTTGCAGGATCACTACTGGAAATGGATTGGGGAGATGAGGGTCACTCACCTGAATGGCTGGCTGTCAGGATCTGTGTCCTTGAACCCCATCTCCTCCAGCTTGCACCGTCTGTACAGCTCATAGTGGCGGGTGTGAGTCTGTTCCCGAAGATCTTCCATGTTGACTCGAATCAGCATTTCTCGCAGTTTCACAAAGTCACAATGACTTTCATTCTCGACTGATTAAACAGAAGGGAAGAAATTCAGCAAATACAGGGGGCGGAGGGGGGAGGATTGAGGGGAAGGGAGGATTGCAAGGATAAGGCAGGACAGATTAAACCCAGCGAGATCCTCTCTCAGGGAATGTGTACCTTTGGTGCAACGAGCGAAGCTTTCCAACAGGAGAGCATTGCAGAAGCAGGGCCTTTCCGTTTCAGAAGCATCTGCCTAGGCAGGAGACTGCTCTTTACCAGGGTGCCAGGTTCTAGGGCTAGGACAGCATTTCCAAGAGCAAGGGTCATGAGCACAAAAGGAATTAATGGCGGACCTATGAGAGGACCTATGGGACTTGGTGCCTTCCATACACGGATAGCCACGGAAATGGGTGTCATAGAAGGATGATGGGGCATGTGCACAAAGGTGTGTGGGAGCAGTTCTGTCACCAGGACTCTGCCCCACTCAAGGAAAAAAGGAAATAGAACCGGGTTGAAGGGAAATGTATATTTCCTGGATTTTATGTGCCGTTCTGAGCTGTTACTTCGACGGCATGGGGCTCAGGTGAAAGATCCTGCCCAGACTGCACAGCACGCGTTTTGAGAGGGGCTCCGAAAGGAGGAGCAGCGCTCGAGGGAGGGCACTTGTACTGCTCTAATCATCCCAGCACAGCACTGAGTGAATGCCTCCGAAGCACCTGAACAAGCTAGGGAGGGTTACAGTCCCCCACCTAGACATTCAGCACAGAGCCACTGTTGCTGGGAGGATCACTGGAAGAGAGAGAGAAGCAGAAAGACCCTCAGGAGCAGCTGAAGTTCCCACCCTGCTCTGAGAAGAGCTCCCACACACTGTATAAAGCCAACTCTCCTTCCACGGCTTGAGTTGCATTGGTTACAATAGCTCATCATAAACTTCAGTCTAAGCTTTCACCCTATAATTGGCTGCTCCTAGGGTTTTCCCAGCTGGAACCTCTCTGACCCAGAGCTTAGCTCTCTCTGTTTAGAACCCTGCTCCAGCCTGGTTGGAGCAAAGGGAATGCACCTGCCTGTATGACCCAGCCGTAACCACACTGCACCTTCAGGCAGGGTTCAAGCACCTGATAACTTGATTCAACAAAGGAGCCCTGAATGGTGATACAGAATCCTTGGGTCTCTTGCCCTGGCACCCACACTCTGACATGGTGGTAGAAGAAAGACGCGCAGGAGAGAGCGTGAGCACACACACACGCCGAGGGGCTTCACAGCTCTGAAACGTGCCCTGCTGTTGACTTCCTTACCTTGCACCACCCCCCAAGGGTACTGCCGAGCTCTCACCAGCTTGTTTCCAACTTTCACCTCCTCCGTGCTGCCAACAACAGCAAAGGGCAGATGAGCCTGAAACAGAATCAGCCCAGGGATTCAGTGCACACGCTAGAATCTCTCACAGGCATCAGTCTTACAAAGCTACCATGAGCTTCTTCTAGCCAGGCACAAAATCTGCTTCAAAATCATTTATCTGAAGCACAGAATCTTTGTTACTCAGCGTGAAAACAATCTCCACTCTGAAACGGCATAGGGCACCCTGCGTGCCCAACACCTGCTTGCCATGGAGCCGTGCAGTGCGGCTTGGAGCCAGAGCATGGCACAACAGGTTCAGGTACCGGCTTTGGCACTGAGTCAGTTAGAGAGAGATTTTATTAATGCCCTGGACAGCTACTTCCAAACTACAGCTGTTCCCAACACATAAAGCATCACTGGCTTCCACGGCTAGCAAGTAGAGGCCCCTCCCTGCTAGATTGTTCTTACTGCTGTAGCATCCCCAGTGTGCTAAGCCCTGTCTGCACACAGAGGGTGGGACAATGCCTTCTTTGAAGAACATACAAACAAAGACATTTGTTAGTGGTGATTTGCACAGCAGCTCACATGAAGGCACAGGATGGGGCGTTTGCAGGACACATCACATGCTGGTTTAGTTATTAGAGACATGGTATCCAAGAGTGAGGGCGGGGGGGAAATCGCAACACGTTTAGGGAACATGGCATCAAGACGACATCATCAGCTTTGTAAGTGCAATAAAGGAGGGCATTGGTTGAGAACACATAGTGTTCATTGGACACAGCCCTTACATAGAGAGCTACAGGCACTGTCAGTCGCTCTGTCCCATCCCAAGGCAAATATCAATTAGAGAACATGTGTTACATTCTCACTAATCTCCTCACATCACCGCTTCTCTCCTCTGTCGTGGCACTAATGCTGGAGGTTGGAAAGTCACGCTGCAATAAGTTATGGCAATTACCAGTACAGAATGACCACCCAGCCACACACTAAGCACCAGACAGCTGATCTTCCCCAAACACCAGCACATGCAGGGTTTTACTGTGACAGATACAAGACTGGTTCGATTACCTGCTGGTCAGCCGGCAAAGCTCTCAATAGTCAATGGGAGCTTTGCTGGAATAAGGAGCACAGAAAACATTAGGAGCTAGGTATTATAGTGGTAACCAGATGCGGGTAGGTATTATGCCAGTATCCAGAGTTCACCACGCTGTTAAACATACTGCAATCTTGGTCTGCTTCCCAGGGATTTCAATGGGGAGGGGCTAACAGAGGTCCTTCATTAATAGGCGGAAGTAGACTCAAAAGTAGAACTCATGGGGAAATGTTCCCTCTTCCTCTCCCCATGAACAATTTTGACAAAAGAAAAAGAATTTTAATTTTCATCAACTTTTTTCTGCATTTTTCAGTTTTTTGTCAAAAACAAACAAACAAACAAAAAACCACACAACAGTAACCAAAACCCAAAATATTTCAACCAATGGGGCAAACATTTTTTGTTTTATTGCAAATTTTTGCCCAATTTTTTCAGTTTTTGGTTGCTAGTACCCCCCCCTCCCATTTTTGGGTTTTTTTTGGTGAGAGACCAAAACATTTAATAAAAAATGGAAATTTACTGTGGAAAAAGCCTATTTTGGTTTAAAAACCCCCAAACAAACTATTTCAGATGAAAAATGTCAACCAACTCTACTCAAAAGCACAATTCAGATTCCAGATAGCCCAATACATGGAAATTAGCAAGACTCACACTCACTTAAACCAGGGCTGAATTTCGCTTTAAAAAAAACCCAACAACATAGCAGAGTACAATCATCCCTATTTTTATTTTAAATTGGGCTCAATTTATTTGGCTTCCTTGGTTTAGGAGACTCTAAACTAGAGCTGGTTGAAATTTTTCACTCAAAGCTTCCCCTCCCCGCCATGAAAAGTGATCTTTTATTTTTTAAATAAAGAGATGAACAATTTCAGCACAAAGTTTCCTGTTTCAAAATCTATTGAGTCTTCAACAAAAAATTAAAACTCAAAAACGTTTCAGTTTTTCTCCTCTCCCTCCAACTCTTCTCCATTTTCTCCTTTTTTTATTTTGCTTCTGAAAAAGGATGGGAAAAAAACCCCAAACTTCAAAAACTGAACACTTTTCTGTTTTCTCATCCCTAAAGTCATAACATTTCTAATTTTTTCTAAACATTTAAAAAACAAAAAAAAAAATTGCAAAACATATTTCGACTTGCTGCAAACCCAGCCTTGAAATATCAGCATGCAATCTATTTTAGAGCAGAACATGGCTTCTCATAAGAGCTGTATGAGATTAAGTAACAGTCACACTTGAATTAAATTCCTGTACAGTGAGGTTTAAAAAAGGCACAAATCTCTTTAGCAATAGCCTTAGGCCTCTGTCAGATGCACTGCTCCTCTTTAAAACAGATCTAGTAGCCACACAACCCCCTTGAGGACCCACTTTAAAATGTGTCATTGTCCAGCAGTTTCCTTTGTTACAATATTCAGAGGAAAGGCAATAAGCAGCATTACTCACATTCATTACGGAGTTGATCTCTGCGACAGCGTCATCATCCGTGGGGAACTGATAGATCTGCACTCCGTTACTGACCAGCTCACTCATTATCTTTATCTTAAACTTGTGCAGCTCGCTCTTGGAAATGGTGTCTGCTTTGGCGATGATGGGGATAATATTCACCTACAGTGGGAGTAGGGGAGAAACCAGGGGAACCATTATAGGGCAGATCTGGGAGCAGCAGCCAATCATTGTCCCTGGCTGTGCAGCATATTGATGGATTTAGAGCCGCTATGGCACTGACCCTCAGAATAGCTGTGCCGCCTGGACGGCCCCTTTAAATTTCTTAATATGCCACACATGTTACACTTTGCATGTAATAAGACAGGCAGCAGCACCAGTACAGCTAAGCACTGGATGGTGTAGGATGCCACCATCTAACTATGTTTTCTGCAACAGTAACTTCTAGAGAAGCTAAAGGACAAATGCCCTGTGGACAATGTCATTAATGTGGACAACGAGTAGATCAAACCCTCTGTAACAAGCAAAAAAAATCAGACAAGACGTTATCTTCAGAGACTCTTTTCCTGGTTTTAGCCTTAGCCCAGTGAGCGCTGGGACAGGACATCGGTAGTTCCTGTAGGTGCAGCCATGATCAATAAAGCTCATACTTTTGCGCTTCACGATTGTCTTGTTTAGGCCATTTCATCCCTGAAATGTTACAGATAGTGTGAAATGAGACAGCGTGATTCAATGGGGGAAGAGCAGAGACTTGCTGTCAGAATCTTTGCAGCAATTTATTTTAACGCTTGTTAAAACTCTCCTTGAGTGCCACACTATGTGTGTGTCCTGCAGATTAAGTGAGCGACTGGGAAATGACACCCAGCTGTGAAGTGCCAGTATTCTTATGCTTGGCGTTACTTAACAGTGTTTTCACATCAGCAGCTCAGACCCAAAACAAACACTGTACAGTTATTTCACTCTGGGTTCTGCAAAGCCATTTCTCCCATCTACGCTAACCTCCACCGGGAGAGAAAGTCATTCACATTCACTGTGTAGCCCAGTCTAGCAAAACCTAGGGCCGTTTTGACATTTCTCAGGCAGGAAGCCATTTCACTATCATCTAACACTGTGCAGAGCTGGGAAGCCTGCTACACAAGGCAGTGTTGGGGTTAGGGTGGAAAGTCCTCTCTTGTCCTCCCTCTGGAGGGTTGGTGAAGGAGAGAGCACTACGGGGGAGGAAGGGGAGTATTGGGGGAAGTGAGAAAACAGGCTTTGCTTTCTCTCTGGGGGACCTTGCACAAGGAAAGGCAGCAAGTTGTGAGTGATTTGTGGTGTCTGGGGGCTTTTATAGGCCACCCTTGGAGGTGCTGTGTGTCTGAAGCTAGACTGCACAGAGTCTGAAGGCAGCTGGAGTCGTGGGGGTAGGGAAAATCAGTTTACAGATCTGTCTGTGTCCTCTGGGATGCAGGAGGTGGTAGCTGATGGTGGTGAATGGCAAGTGCTTCCTGGGGAGCGGGACCCTTTTCAGCAAGTGCTTTTAAATAATTTCCCTCTGCCCAGAAATGCCAAATTCCATGTTACAAACCACCACTGAAAAATTCTGTATTGGTTCCATACTCCAAGCAGGGAAACACCAGACTCCAGACAAATTAAGGGAAAGTCTGATCTGTCACCTAATGTTTTTCTACTTCCCGTATTTTTGACCTACAGAGGTTGGAATTCAAAACTGTCGCTTGGTCTGTCTATTGACACCCATTAAAATAAATGAGGCTGCTCTCCCAGCTCTGAATCTCTTTGTAGCTCGCTAGGTGGCTTTCCACAGCTTTCATGTCATCCCCTGCTTAGCTCTCTGGTAGAAAAGGAGACCACTTACTGGATTAAAAAAAGTGACCCAATTCGCTAGCTGCCCCATAATGATATTTTCCCATATTAGGCTTTTGTGAGTGACGTTTCTACTCATGAAAGTAAACAAACAGCTGGACTCTGGCAAATTCTCCTGCCCAGCTCCTACTTCATATCTCAGTCCTGTCCTATGAGATCTGTGCAACTCAGTCCCAAGCTTCTCCTGACTAGAACCAGAGGTTAGGCAGCACAGTCCAGTGGTTAGGCTGATGAACCTGATTCTCCCAAGTCCCAGGTTAATTCTCTGCTCTACTACAGATTTCCTGCGTGACCACGGGAAAGTCACTTAGGGCTTGTCTACACTAAGGCCAGGGCAACACTAAATACTTAGGCTGATCCAGCTACATCACTCAAGGATATGACGTAGTTAAGCCAAACTAAACCCCAGTGTAGACAGTGCTAGGTTGGTGGAAGAATTCTCTTGGGGAGATGGATTAACTACAGCAACAGGAGAACCTTTTCCTGAAGCAGCACTTCTCGTGAAAGCTGCAGGAAAGTTAATCCGAGTTAACTGCCAAGGTGGGTTAGTTAAACCACATTAAACCCTTGTGGGGACACACTGATTCAGAATTAGAGTGCCTTTAGTTCAATTGAGCTTAATTCATTTCCAAAGGTTTAACTAATCCACTTTAAATTCATACCATTAGTTAATAAAGATTAACTTTCCTGAGTGTCCTTGTATAGACAAGCCCTTATTCTTTTTGTGCCTCAGAGCCCCATCTATAGAATGGGATAACAGCACTTCCCCACTTCGCAGCAGTGTTGAAAGGATAAACATATAATTCAGAAACTATGGCAACAGGAGCCATATAAGTACCTAAGACAGACAGACAGCCTGGAAAGCAGTCTGTCTGTCTTGTTCCAGTTGCCAGGGGCCAAATGTCCTTCTTGTGAAAAAAAACATCACAACGGGCTATCTTGTTAACCATCTGAGCAGAGACAGAAAGGACTGAGTAGACCCAGGACTCCCAGTGGTGGTCTCTCCAGGTCTGGTATAAGGCCCATTTATCTGTGTGGAAGAATGAATGACCTTGGGAGGAAAGCCCAGGGCAGACTGCATGCGGTTTTGCACCTTCCAGCATTTCCGGGAGTTTGTGCTGACAATTCAGCAGGGCTTGTGCTTTTAGAAACATTGTTTAGTCATTCCATTTTTGGACAATTTAATCATCCTGTTTCCCAACATACCCTCTTCTCAACAACCCAAATCCTCCAGAGAAAGGATCAGAACCTGGGACTCTCTCTGACAATATGTCCCATAGCAGCTAATGAAGGATTAGAACATTGAAACCCAGAACAGGGATCAATTTGCCTCAATTGTCTTTATTAGTATTGAATGGTATAATCTGACCACGCAGTCAGAGACAACAGGTCCTCCTTCTAACAGCATTAGCTAAATTCAGCCTTCTACCTATAACAATGCAGGAGGCAAAGGGCCCCACACAGTTTGCCCTTCCAGTGGGGATGAGGAAGCAGAGATTGTGTTAACAGCTGTTTCCCCTGGTATTTTCCTGGGCCCTTGCACTGCTCAGATAAAGTGCAGGCCAAGGCTCCTAGGATTTGGTTCTAATCCCCGCTGATCAGATTCTGTTTGCCTTGAAAAGGCAAATCAAGGAGAATCCTCTGCTCCACAATTTAAGATCCAAGAGGCTTTTTAAATAGATGATACGTCCAACAATCAGCAGCCAAAACAAATATGAATGCCAGCAATTAGCTAACAGCAAAAAGATAATGGTGTTTCAGTTGAATTAGTCTTGGATTATTCCAACTTTTCCTGACACCTGGCAAAAATATGTACAGCTGTTTAAAAAAAAAAAAAAAAAGACTGCATCAGGAAGGTATCAGAAAGCGTCCTGTTACAATGATTATGTCACCTCCTTCAAACTGGGTTTCACTTTCCAAGAACTTGTCAACTAACGATCTATATAGGAGGCCTGGATGAAAAGCAGGAGGTAACCCCTGCACACACTCTCCCCATCCCCTCTCCTCTTTGTCTACTACTCCCTTCCCCTACCCTTTTCCCTCTTGACTTTGATTTCCTTAATTTTATTATTTTTTTGTTTTGATATGTGTCGTAAGAACCCCTGTGCCGGGAATACTGCTGTTAATGCACAGAGGAATCCATGGCTGTGTAAAATATCTTGGTCTTTTCTGATGGATAATCCTTTTGTACTTGCTTTATATGTTGGCTTCTAGAATTTGTTTGGTTTGTTGTAAAAAAAAAAAAAAGATTGAAAAAGTCTAATAAATCAAAAACGTCAACAAAACAAATGGGGTTTCAAGTGCTGTTGAGCTTGATCCACCCACCAATGTACATCATTCCTCTTACAATGGCCTTCATGTATCTACTTGCAGCGTGAAGGACACAGCCCCAATCGACTGATATATAGTTTAGCTGGGAGTCAGAGCCAAAGTCTCATCTCACTCCTGACTAAGTTTATAACCAGCACAAGCCCTCTCAACAAACTGAACACGGCTGAAACAGAAAGAGGTTTATCCTTCCACTCCCTGAGTAGACCCTAACAACACAACACTAATAATGCTTTGCACATACACAGGGTTTTCATTCAAGGATTCCACGGTGATTTACAAACAATAATTGATCCTCATAGAACCTATGTGGGGTAGGGAAGTGTTATCCCCATTTTAAAGACAGAGAAACTGAGGCACAGGAGTTTACCATCTGGTTTTCAGCTCCCAACAAAATTGATGGGTGCTCAGCACCTCGGGAAAATCAGGTTACAAGTGTCTAAAGTCATTGGCCGAGCTGGGAATAGGATACAAGGGTCCCTGTGTTCTCACGCTGCTGCTCTAACCTCTGCACAGTCTGTGAGAAGGAGTGATTATATGTAAGGGCAGCGCTTACTGATTCGTTCTGATCAAACCCCTACTTGCCAGGCCTCAGAAGTAAAGCTTTCTGAAATCTAATGGTAATCCCCTTCATGCCCCTTTCTGATGTGATCCAGGTATTTACTGTGTATTCAGAATTCCTAAAAAGGATGCAGCCTTCACTCAGATATCATTGGCTCATTCTACAATGTTAAAGCTTTGGAATCAAAGGGCTAAAAGCACCCCATTTAAAAACCTTGCAATAGAGGGCCAGCCCTTGGTCAAATAGTATCCCAGAGCGAAGCAGTAATTGTCGCCTCTCTCCTCACCCCCAACAAAATAAGGGAGGTGAATATTCTTCCCCAGCTCCAATGGCATCTCACGTTATTCTGTACCCTGGAGGTCACCCGAATGATCCCGCCCACTTTGCCCTTCCACAGCATTGGGTTGCT